TAGGTAAGCATGTTTTCACCAAAACCCACGAATCTTTTGTTTGTTTTATGCAGCAGAACATTGTTCTTGTCACACAAGCGAGAACTAGACAGTGATAACGACGGTAGTTCCTTAAGACTACAGATGGCACTGAATAAGTTGCGTTGGTTTGGGGACGTACCACGTATGCCTGGTGTTATATAGGTGGTAAGAAAACTTCGCCAAGCCCCGTGTGCCTTGTATTAGAACATTCTCGGTTACAAGCAGAGTAGTGTTTTCCTTTGTGGCAGAACATTTGTCATAATCGCTTGTTTCATACCACTCACATGTCCCGTGATTCATTGAGATCGATAAATTCAAATTAGCACTCAGCCGTGATTTGAACTGTAATCAGAGTGTTTTTGCTACCCACGTGGGCCCGTGCAGTGTTTCGCAAATATACTTCCTGTCCAGTGCGTTGTCTTTTAACTTGCGTGGCGCAAACTAAGAAGCTCCTAAATCGAACCCTTGAGGACTCAATACCTGGTCACCGCTTAATAAGGAGGGCCTAGTTTTACTTGTCAAATGTAGAGTGGCGCAAGGCTCGAGGTGGGCAAAAATGAACTTGGCATCGGAACACGAAGTCACCGACGACCGAACTCGGTGCAATCGGTCCGCCTCGTGAGTTGGAGAAGACAACGGAGATGGAGACATGGCTGATTGCGGTGCAGGCGAAGCGATTTGTTCAGCATTCCGTTGCTTAGCAGCCGCTACGCTTCTGCGGTCCATACTCGCTCCCATTGAAGTAATCTCATTGTTTATCCTCTGCTCTGCTTCTGCGACTAACCGGTCGCATTTCTCAGCTAGGATAAGCAAGCACTTAACGCGGGTTATGGTGGAACACGCAGTACAGAACCAAAATGCATCTTGGGAGCTATTTCACTCCCGTAAATGTTGTTGGGACAAATTTGCACATTTCCTATGGTACCATTCCAAACAATCCGAACAAGCCAGACCAATTTTTACTACCCGATGACATTCTCCTATCCCACAAATGCCCTTCGATGGGAGTCTCTTCGGTTTCGCCTTTCTGCCATTCAATTTGTGTCGTTACCTGACCCAGTGGGTTGGTTAGTGTTCTGTACTTTTACAGCTTTCAGAGCGGCGCACATCACTCAGGCGAGCGTGGTGGTTGCAAGGTCAAATGAGCGGTCGGCGTGGTCGCGCGGTCCGTGTGATGGGTAATGCAGCCGCACTGGCTGACAAGGTCACAAGGAATGGCGAGTGACTGCAACCTGAACAGAGCGCTGAACACTGATTCTTTCACAGCTGTGTTGAGAAACACTGGATCGGAGTAAGCTTAGGCTTTTCGGCCTGCCTCGAGAATTCTGTAACGAATGGTCTCACACAGAAAGGCAATCGGCACAATACGATTGAATTAAACGCTTGCGCTTAATCACAGATGCCAGTGAAAACGCTTAGTGATGGCACAGCCTCTAATCGTAGAAGATATTTCCACGTATGATGGATCACTGTGTAGAGCTGGTAAATCCGGTTCGAATGAGCGTACAGTGACAACGCTGCGAAAAGATGGAGAGAGGATAGAGGGAAATAATCCAAATGAACCAGTAGCACGCACGTCACGCGTGTGTGAGGATGACAGGTGTCACGAATATATATATATATATATATATATATATATATATATATATATATATATATATATATATATAGTTGGCGACATCCAGTTTCGGATTTGCCTGTCACTGTGGCCAACCACAGGACGCCTGTGCCTACAGAGAGACCATGGTTGGCTTGCGCTGCACCACCCACAGCTCCATCCACACACCCCATATCCAGTGTAAACCCGAAGAAGTAAGACCGGGAGGCATGCGGATGGGAGCCACGTTTCATTAACGGAGCCGGCCCACACTCCTTCACAGGCAAACACAAGCACGATGTATTTGGGGAATCAAGTGCACCCAAGACGGTGGCTGGACCGTAGTCCGCTCCACGCTGAGTGCAGGGAACCACTCTCCGAGCCTAGCACGGCCACAAGGACCATGCACCCCGTCCCCTCCTGCAACGACCGACTGTCTCCTGGAGCCAGTATGGACGAGGTGGTGGGTAATAGACAGGTAGACATCTTATCAACATACACATCAAGCGCAGCCACACCTGGGATGTCAAACAACATCCAATCATTCAAAATGCCGATATCGAATAAAGCAAACGCATATGACGACATAAATACTCGCTAAATGAACATATAGAAGAAATTGTTTATAAGTGAATCCGTGCTAAGTATAAAATGTCCGAATGTTATTTAAAAAATATCAGGCGAGAAAATTACGCAAGTTTACCCCAATTTGCATGAGCGACGTGTGCAAGTTGAGAGAAGATTATCAAGTACGCAGAACAAACCAAATGAAATGTTATGAATTTTATGCACATTAAAAAGACCTAGTTTAAGTGTAAGTTGGTTTAGCCCAACTGCGGTGAAGAGCATCATGAATGCAACATCGCCATATCAATGCTTCAACGGGACGAATTGTTCAGTTTTTGAGGCATTCCGTATAACTGGAAATGCAAATTCTCGCCTGCATTCCTAGAACAAATAATCCATCAGCTTCAAGAGACCATCCGAGCTCCTTTGAAGTCATATTAGCGAGTAGAAATACTTCGCAACTTCTTACTACACCGTCACATTTATGACCTCTCTATGGCGGTAGCATATTCACATACCTTCAGGAATAAGGGTAAATTCATCCGCTTCCATGCATGCAAATAGCTGTGGTTGCACAAAGGTACGTCGGTGACCTAGTAGCACTGGGTTATCGCAGAGTTTGGAGTCGGTGTACCATCTCTGTCTACCGCCATTGCTCTAGGGAAATCTTACGTGGAGTGCCATCCTATAAGCAGTTGCGCGACACACCATCATTCTGTGGTCTTTACTTGTCGCCTAATCACAACTCCCGTCTTTGTGTGTGTGTGTGTGTGTGTGTGTGTGTGTGTGTGTGCATGGATTGCCTGTCCTCGACAAGACTTCTACAAACGAGGCTTGGAGAACAACGATTTTTCTTCTGTCGATGGTTCCCGGCCCAGGGACGTTACAACTGCACCTTCATCTCACCACTAACTTAACCGATCATGTTCTTCCCTCGTCTATTCATGCGAGGGATTCACCTGCGGGCGGGAGTCTTTTAAACGAAGACAGGCAAAGCTAGAGGCAAACAACCTCCCTCAATAGCTCTTTTTCATTGTCATGGAGCTGGTGGTCAGAAAGGAGTGTTTTCACACTTCCTAAACTCATGTACAGTCGCACCTAATCCTCGCTGTAAGAGGCATAACGGAATCGCGAAACAGTTTGTGATCGCAAGCCGCCATCGGAGTATTAAAATTACACCAGCATCCAGATAAACCACTTTGAACTCTTTGAACTTGAATCACTTTGAACTCCTTTGGTGAACCCGACATCCTAACTGTCAAGGAGACTACAGCATATGTTATGGACATTACAATCTGTGATGCGGACCGCATGGAAAGAACCTACAAATTAAAGTTGATGGCTAACAGAGACAAGAAGCAAAGAATACGTTGAACAATAATAAAGGAGTGCAATTTGGAAGAGGGGTAATCAAGGCGTTTTCTGGTACGCCGTCCAACTCGATTTGCTAAAAGAAAGTAGTAAGCTCACAGTTCATGTGATGGGTCGAAAGGTATCGACATCTAATATGGCTTTAGAATGGCCTTCGTGGCAGGGCCTAGATAGGCAAGAGCAAATACAACTGAGAACGCTGTCTGGTGCACTCATGAGACTGAATCAATGATGCGTATTCTACTTTTCTTCTTCTCTGCTCGGTCTATGGAAGTGTTTTGTTGTGGAATTGGTACTGTCTAGCTTAGATACACACTGGGTTTGGTGGAGTGGAGTGGCAAACGCACCTACAGTGCAATTGCCAGTTAGCGATTGTAGATGAGACTCACTTGTAGACCAACCAGAGAGAGCATGGATTGACGCATTCCTTTCCCAATCTCGTAGAGTAGGCTACTTGCGCATAGATCGTCAGAAGACTCCGGTTGGCTTGCACATGGTGAGGAGACACGGGGTCTAAGTCTTGGTATGGAACTGACCAACTAGGCAAAATTTTCCCGATCCACTGAGTGGAGAATGGTTACGCTTTCACCAACGCTGTCGAAGCCAGCCAGGCCGGCTCGACCCACAATCTGCTTATATTGGATTCCAGACATGAACGCACTTCCAGTATATATATATATATATATATATATATATATATATATATATATATATATATATATATATATGTAACTTGCCAGCCTGTCGAAAATCCCCAATCTCGATTCTACTGCCTGCGGGAGACAGTCCTTCATTGCTTGGGGAGAGCGGCTACCCGGTCCTTGGGTGGTGCAGCACAAGCCATCTATGGTCCCTCTGTAGGCGCAACCGTCCCTTGGCTGTCCGATTTGGGCCACACTGACAGACAAATCCGGAACCGGATGCCGCTAGCGCAATTGTGGTAGCCCATCCGTTCCCAATTTACTCGTGATTTTCCATACAATTCTCCCCTGATGCACCACAATGCAACCTTCTTGACCTAGCTCTGCGGTCGATTGAAGCTACTTTCGGGCCTACTGTGCTTTCTGTGCGTCTGTCACTTCATTCGGTGAAATGACAACTTACGAGGGTTGTCAAACACCCCGAACATCCGACACCTTGATACCGGACAGCGAGATGTACATGCCTTTGAAGTAGGGAACCTGAATTTCCGTTATAACAATTACATTTTTACTCCATTATTTTCGCTCGCTTTTGCCTGCGACTAATGACGATATTTTCTATCATGCTCACTGTATCGTTATAGAACACTACACGATCTAGGTCACCATTTCTGCCAGTTTTCCGATAAGAAATTGGCCTCGTACTCTAAGAATTTGCTTAATTTACTTCCTGACACGTTTGATGCTGTTTGGATTAAGCACTAATAGTGATTCGTTGCCATTTGACGTCTTCCATCGCAAAGAATCGTCGATCTTTGGTCCAGTCGAACCTCAGCTCGCCGACCTCCTTGGCACTGGATTTCATCCGGAATGAATTATTTTGGACAGACGGCGAACGAGGCTCGGTGGAAGCTTACCATCTGCGTACCAGACACCGACGCACTGTACTCCAGTCAGACTCCTTGCATCCAGTTGGTATTGCTGTGTTCGAGGACTGGGTCTATTGGACAGACCGTAAACAGAATCGCTTCATGAGAGCCAACAAATTTAACGGTTCGTTTTGGCATTCCCAATATTTTGATTTATCTCAGATTGGTCATCATAACTTGTTTAGCGTTGTTCCTTATGAACGTTTCTGATACACATCTAAAATGGCTATCCGAGCGGTGTTTAAGTGGAAACTTTTGCTTTAGCATTGGATTGCCGTGACTCCCAACCCTGCGCGACATGTGCTTTGGCAATGAGACCAAGTCATGTGCTGCAGTAGATGTTGTTCGTCGTAGCGTCATCCGGTGCTCCTCAGTGAAACACAGTTTACACCTTAAGACTCCACTGAGTGAAAGCTCCTTTGCCCGTGGCTAAGCCATGGTAGTCTACCTAAACAGAGGTCGTGCTAGCAATCAAGCGAACGCGACTCTCCACCCGATGCCATCTCCGACAACTGGCCGGGGAAGTAACTTGCACATTACTGAAGCAATGACAGTAGTAGCATTGTCACCATTGTTAGCAGTAAACTTACCGCGCAGTTCGCAAGATAGATAACGCGATTTATCGTTAGACTCCTACCACATATTTGCCCACCATTTGATGTCCCATGGTTCAATGTCGACCGACATAAGTGACATGCACTTCGCAAAATGGATAACGTGATTTAACTCTGGACTCCTACCATCTGTTTATTCCTACTCTCGATTTCCCATGGCCCAGTGGAAACCGACGTAACTATTACGCAATTTACCAAACCCATGTCTGGACCTTATTCTGGATGACCAAACCAAACGCTTGCCCCATTTGGTGAACGCCCGCTTACCGATCATCACTCATGGTGTCTCATATCGATGTTATCATGGATTCACTTCACCTCACCCAGTGAAAACTGTTCACTCTGTACAACCAGTCCAGACCGCCCGCACACTTCGAACCATCCTCCCGTCCCATGGGCACACACCTCCATATTTCTTCCACCACTTCCGTTTCACTGAGGCAGGAAACCATCCCAACAGCCCGGCCGATCGCTTTTCCCTTCATACACTGTATAGAAAGGTTTATCGGATATAATAAAAGAAAGCTTGTAGTCCGATTGTGAACTATGTAGTGTGAGACTCTTGATGGACGGTGGCGAGTACAGCATGCATTCTTTTTAGACATTATGAGGACCGGTTGTTTCAAAACTGAGCGGCATTGTCTAGGTTTGTACAGGTTGTATTTTGGCTCTTATTTAAATAGCATCCTGGTTCACGTATCGGCTTCCTTTCTTGGTTGTATCCGGGAGAATTTACACGTCACTCGAGCCCCAAGCGAATTTGTCACTTACAACCACTGCTGTCAGCAACCTTCGACCAAATCTCAGGCTTTGTGAGATGCTTTATACATGCATTTTCCCTCAACCTTACCGCAGGAAGGTATGCTGAGCCTATGTTCAACATCTCCAGTCCCTATATTTTTCGCCTTCAACATGACTTGCTGCGACCGCCCTTGACTGATCGTTGTCGGGGACACATGTGTGAACAGCTGTGCATACCGGTTCCACTGCGGTCTTACCCGGCCTACTCTCTGCCATACGAATGTGCCTGTGCAGACGGTTGGGAGGTCAATCGTACGGATCCACATCGATGTGTCGGGAATAACACCGAGGAGAGCTTCACCTCCTGGAGTAAGTCAGTACACAAATCCACAGTGAGTTGGTAGCTTTCTCCTTCTGTTTGCTACCAAACTTGCACCATCCTTTTTGGGCACTTCAGGTGGAGTTTGCCGCACCTGGGAGTGGAATGTCTCTCGTAATGGTTGACAGCATATGTCTTGCTCAACAAATCATTGAAATTCACGACTAGAAACCTACACAACGGTCGATAGCTCAGCCCTAAATTATTAGAACGCCGGATGATTGGTTGGCTTGTGACACACCTGCTCAATTTGATGACATTTTACTCCGAAGGGAATCCCAATCACTCCAATCATTGGGGTCGCATCCAAAGTGGGGAATTTTCGGCGTTGTGCACTGTCAACACTTTACGCCACGATATGTTTCGTTCCTTATTGGGCTCGCCATGTTGAGATAGCACTGACCTACTGATTGCCAGCAGTAGCCTTCCCGACTACAGAACTGACTCTCGCGAACAGCGCTTATCACGGTGGCTAGGAAATCACCGTAATTGTTTTGAGGAAATTGACCATATTTGCTGAATTGGGTTTTCTGACGCTCAGTATATGGAAAACTGACTACTAAGTGATAAGAAACCATCTCTTAACTGTCCACTGGGAGGATTGAAATCTGCCCGCCGGTCGTTTGCGAAAACCATCATTTAGGGTGCGATCTTTGGCGTTCAGTAGACAGGTCCCTATCAGCTTTACTAGGGTGATGTGTGTGGGTGAAGTTTGGTTTATAGCTACCTGTCGGAAGGATTCCAGTGTTGAAACAGTTAAAAATACGATCACCCGAATACTGTTATTGGAGCGGTAAACTTCAAGTACATTCATACAATGATCAAAGCTGCAAACTTTTGTTATGGTGTGCTTATCCACTAACAGCAGTTTCAACGCATCACACTGTTAGTCCATTTGGTCGTATAGAGTTTTCTTTATGCTGACGAACCCCAGTTTCAGTCTGTCGCTAAGGCTATCATTCACCTATCGTTGTCTGTATCTGATTGGTTTTGCATTTGGTCCATTCTTATTGACTCTGCTCAGTCGCATGCTTTCAGTGCCATGTCAGCCTTCCTGTTACATAGCAGTGCAGTTTTCCTATGCCAGCCATCCTGTTCCCGCTTGTCTCGTATCCCACTAACCTGAGTAGCTCGAAACAGGGACGGAGCTCATGAAACCATAGTGACAGAACATTCAGAAGTTGTCGGTTGAGAAATGGCCGGGAGAAATGGTCCCCAAAATCTCATTCGGCCCACCTTTGAGGGTATTAGGAGAACAGCTATTAGACATTCATTTATTGTGAACGAGCTTGATAGCTATTCTTTACTCTTCCTATTTGCTATTTCTTGACTGTTGTTTAAACGCTCTACTGGGTTAGCCCGATTGGTACATCCACGTCATTGTTAATGGACGCTCATCGTCACGTCCTTCTCAGCAGCGCCATTTGCAAGAACATATTCTATTGGTTTTTTCTTCTCATCACTGTTCTACTTGGTTATGTTAAAGGAATATTTAGTTGTCACAAAATTATTGTACTAGTTTTCAACTTTTGGGTCTGCATTCCTTATTCCCGTTTGTTTCGTGACTTTTGTTTAAACGCTTCGTTTCGTCATTCTGATTGGCCAGTGTCCGTCACTGTAAATGGACGTTCGCTTTACGCTTGGAGTCCAATGATGCTATTTTTAAGGACATAGGCGAATCGCTCTTGAGTACACGGTTGCTTATTCGCCGTTGCATTTGAGGTTTTTCCTTCAGTTGGTTGGCTCAAGTGTACTTTAGTAGCTTCCCTTCATTTTGCCTTCAAACTATATAAGCAACTGTGATTGCATGTATACAAGTCTTCTTCTGGCTCGGCTTTGGACTTCTTAGTGAATACCCCATGTTGAGACAACTGCTTCATCTGCGCACACCAAGCAGCACGCGACGACACCGGTATAAACTTATCGTACCGCAGTTGAAGCGGGTAGCTCACCAACTCTGTTTCGAGTGTAGAGTGGTGAATACCTGGAACAACCTGCCGCAGCCGGTAATAGAGGCGAACTCAGTGGCCGAATTTAAGAAGCTTCTAGACAAACACTTTGCAGAGGCAAAATATAGAGAGCGGAACGATAATTAATACGTTAATATCCAAGAGCGACAATTGATGCAGCTACACAGAGTATGTTCTACTCGCTGCTTCTAATCAGTGTCAGTATCAGTATCAGTATCTTCTTCTGGTCGTGGGGTGAAGACGTCAGCGGCGACACAACAGACTTTCTGGCGATGGAGGTTCCGGTAATCATGTCGGTTTCGTTCGATCAAATGCAGGCGCTTCTTCAGCAGCAACAACTCCAGTTTGAAAAATCTCAACGACAGTTGATCGAGTTGTTATCTCAGAAGCTGAATATCAAAAGCGAATCCCCGACGACAACCGTAAGGCCATCTGTGGAGGCCCTTGCGGCTGCAATTACAGAATTTGTTTTCAATGGATTGAACGGATTGACATTTGGATCTGGTTCCCAAAGTATGAAGATATTTTTCGAGTGGAACTTGCAGACCAAGGCGATGCCTGGAAAGTTCGTTTGTTGTTGAGGAAACTTGGCGCAGTCGAGCAGGAACGTTACACAAATTTCGTGTTGCCGAAGAATGCAAGAGACTTCAGCTTCGATGAGACGGTGAAGACGCTGACGCAGATATTCGGTGAGCAGGCCTCTCTGTTCAGTGTTCGCTACAATTGCTTGAAGTTAGTCAAACGCGATGCCATTGATTTTGTCACACATGCCGGGATCGTAAATCGCAAATGTGAACGATGCAAACTGGGTATGATGACACCTGATCAATTCAAGAGTCTTATTTTTGTGTGCAGTCTCCAGTCTCACGCTGACGCCGGTATGCGAACACGAATTCTGCACAAGCTCGAACAAGAACCACAGTTGACGTTGCAAGAGATTACAGCCGTCACTGTAAATGGACGTTCGCTTTACGCTTGGAGTCCAGTGATGCTATTTTTAAGGACATAGGCGAATCGCTCTTGAGTACACGGTTGCTTATTCGCCGTTGCATTTGAGGTTTTTCCTTCAGTTGGTTGGCTCAAGTGTACTTTAGTAGCTTCCCTTCATTTTGCCTTCAAACTATATAAGCAACTGTGATTGCATGTATACAAGTCTTCTTCTGGCTAGGCTGTGAACTTCTTCTTGCGGTAGTGGGGTGAAGGCTTCAGTGACGACCCAACAGAGGGCAGCTGGAGATTTGCTCGACCCAGTGCAAGCTTCTGTTTAACAGCGACTTATCTACAACACATCGAAATTCAACCGTTAACAAGGGGTCTAACCAAATTACCACTGCTCAATGTATTGAAGTCGAGGGGAACAGCTCCAACGTGCAACCTATGTGTGGACCGTAAGAAGAACTACTGATACTGCTGGCAGACTGGCAGTCCCAAAAATGTGCTCGACATAATGAGACACTGGCCAAACAACTCCCGCACTGCACATCTACCAAAACATGAATTTGAAGACGAAACCGGTATACGTATACATTTTTATTGTCTCCTCAATACCATTAACAATAACCGTTATACACTGATAAAGATAACAGCGGGTGCGACCAGAGGTGTTTCATGTGCGAAGTGAGTGTGGTGAATTCACCTCTACCTCCATGCTAGACCTAAGCTGACCAATAACCGTTATTGTTCACATCGAGCCGGCTTATTGTAACAGCCTCAGCTACACAGAGGAAGCGGTGATTACAATGACGTAACACAACTTCGAATGTTGCATCCGGTACTGCGTGACCAGTAGGTGGCGGTCTGCGGGAGCACGGAAATTCAAGGGGGCAGGGATGCTGGTCATTTTCATGTTGAAACCGTTTTGACACGTGTTCCTTTATTCTGGGAGTCAGAGTCAGTTAAGTTCTGTCAATCTAACTGTCTCCGCAGTCACGCATGAACTGGTACATGCGGTGTGAGTTGGCCCTGATTAGTTGAGCTTCCATCGTTGGTGGGCGCCGATAAGTTACGAGTACGGTCAATGACCACAATTTGTGTAGCACTGTCCCGTGAGTGTTCTAACTTGAGTGGTCCTTTGAGCTACGAGTTGATAAGGGACTCCAAAATCTTGTTGGATTCAAAATGAAACACACCAACCACACCCTGGTCAACCAATTACTGCCCACGTTTCCTGCCCTAGCAGTCCCTGTGGTGTCCGTTACGTGGAGTAAGTAAAAAATAGGAAGCGTAATTGATTGTAAAGGATAAGGAAGGTCCTAAGGTCCGATAAGGAGGGTCTTTGAAAAATTGGTAATACCAATGCATGAGGGAAGGTACAGAGACGAAAGTCGAAGTATGATAATGGGCGTTGTTCAGGAGAAGGGAAATGTTTCGTGTTGCCACCCAAGAGCGTCTAGTTGATGCCCAAACTCCTTAACTCTACGTCCCCTGACGACACTTTCTGGAAGAGAGTACCAGCGCTCGAAGACTCGGCGCGATAGCCGAGTTTGCAATCTTATCCGGTCGGACCGCAGTTTGTCCAGGTTCATGGAATGCGCATAGTGACCAGACAATTTAGCAGAACTAAATAGCCAAGAACAATCTAGGACAATCTTCCCAGTTAAAATACGGTAGGTTAGGATAAGGTATCCTTCAATCCTTCGATAGTGCATTGAATGCATTCTCAAACTAAGTAGACGCTCGGGGTATGTTTGTCCCATCGACCAACCTAGTACCGACTCGTAACACTCTTTCCAGTATCATTTCTTCGCGGACAAGGCATGATGGACAGACCTGAACGCAATATTCTAGGAGGGACTGCACAGAAACTGAACAAAGTTTCCTCAATATATCAGCCATTAAGGTCCCGGAAAAACGAAGGATCGACCAGGACATCTGGAACATTGTTAGCCTCCTTTGTCTCCAGAGTGAAGAGTGGAACAGTGAACGACAAGTGGATCAACCTGATGAGTCACGTGAGGAATTGCACTCCCATCGATCACATAACTTGTGGAGGAATCAGCCACGTCGACACGCAGCACTGA